GTCAACAAAGAAAAGATTTTGAGGTAATTTGTTCCCAGTAAGTGTCAGAGGATCAGAGACCCCTGGGCACAGACCCACCACTATGCAGGTGGCTGCTGTTAGCCAGTGTCCAGGGCCAACCTGGGCATTGGGAGGAGAGATGACGGGCCTCAGAGGCAGTGGATAGTGGTGCAGACAGAATTTCAGGGATTGAAGGGTTAAGAAAAACAGATCTCAGACTGGCTCCACTCTGGCACTGGGGGGAGCCCGATCAAGTACCCCATTCCATGGGGTGCCTGTATTGATCTCCCAGGCCCAGTCTCCCAGCCTTGGCCTCCTGAAACCTCAGGCAGGCCCCTTCCAGGATTATGTTTTAAAGGGAAATGCAAATCACCTGGAGGCGGCTTCGTGCTTGGAGGAAGTAAAAATCGATTCTGTTTTCGTTAAAGTGATTGTTGGACACTGTCAAAAGCTCTCTCATCTCAGAGCACAGGGTGACAGATAGGCTGCCGGTCTCAATTACATAACTGAGCCAACCGGCAGCAGCGGGCCATCTCATTAGGCACGGACACTGCTCCGTGCCCTTCCCTAAGACATTCAAGAGCACCCTCATCCCATCCGGGCTTGAAGCTGGCCCTCCAGGGCCCTCGTGGAGGCTTGCTTACAATGCTTTCCTCCTGCTCGCTCCCCTCTTCCCCCCGACCCCACTCAAGCTCCCCCCACGGACTGGCTCAGGCAGCCCAGGCCAATAGTGATGCCAAGCAAAGTCAAACAAAATTAAGAAAAATCTGCTTTGAAAAAGTTTACATCACATAATACATTCCCAAACTAGTTATGTTGGTCTTATTTAATATTAGGAGTTCTATGTTATCCCTTACCTCTGTTAACTGAGATAATTGGGGATTTATTTTATTTATAGCATCAATTATGAGCACAGAAATTAATCTTTGAATAGTGCATTAGGAAACTCAACTGTCAAGGGGGCTCAAGGCAGAACCTGGGCACAGTGAGGGGGGGTCTTCCCTGCCATCACAGGAGGCTGCAAAGGAAAGCCAGCCTCAAGGCCTGACAGCAGGTAGGCTGTTATTGTTCTTGTGTGCTTAAGGTATTTTGAGGTATTAAATAAACAGTAATAATTGGCTACAGGAGATCCCTCCCTGGAGGACACCTGAGTAACTCATCAGCGAGGTGTTGGGAAAACAGGCAGAGATGGCAAACTGAGCCAGGAAGAGGAACGCCTTCATTTGGCATGTCGGCTCTCAGCACGTCAGCCGGCCTTGCTTTGCAAAGGAGCTGGAGACAGACTCTCTCCAGACTGGAAACAGGAACTTGGGGAAGGAGTAGGGAGAGACGGTCTGGACAAAAGAGGGAGGTGTTTGCTGGGAGCTGTTGGAAGCAACTGGACCATGGCAGAATATTGGTCCTTGGTATTCCATGGCCACTTGGGGCTCAAATGCCAGTGTAGAGTAAGAAAACGATGGGCTTTCTGGAATGGCTGAACAAGGCTACAACTAGCCAGTGAATGTGGCCAGGACAGAAACCAGCCAGGGAAGAGGGAACGGTTTCCAGGGTCGAGTCAGCACCTCCTGTAAGGGCAGGAAGAGCCCCACAGCCCTGCAGAGCAGCACAGGGGATGATCTGACAAGAGTAAAAACTGTTCTCCCTCCTGGGCGGGCACACTGGGGTAGAACACACACAGAGCCGGGAATGCAGGCTCAAATCTTGGATCCACCCTCGAGAGAGGACAGATAGGTCTAGAAGGGACTGAGAACACCATGAGGCCAAGCAAATGGAGAAGGTGCCCCATTCATACTGGCCCATCCATTAAAAAGCATTCTGCCAAGCACCTGCTATATACAGCCAAGCAATGAGCCTGGAAATGGTGCCAACTGCCAACTCAGGTCAAAGTCAAAATAGCTTGACCCAGCAATGAGCTACACCAGCCACGGTGGAGGGAAAGAAGGCTGCTTTCTCATTACTTATCTGAGTTTAAGGAAGATCCTACTAATGGCTTCCTTTCTTGCCCACTTGGTTCTCCTCCCAGAGGCCAGACATTTTCATGTACAGAGTAGGTAAAACAAACTTGTTGTTTGTTAGAGGTGGAGCGAGGAAGTCCACTGGGCCCACAGTCAGGAAGGCATGCCTCTCTCCTGGGCAGACATTCTTCCCTTCACTCTCTGGCAGAGGCTGCCTCTTTCTCCCCAAGAAAGTAAATGTGAGGCCCTGATTGTCCGCCCTGATGCTGGACTTGACCCCTGATCCACAGGGTGAATGCCAAAGCAAATCAGCAATTTCCCCAGCAAGAGTAAAATGCTGGATTTTGCTATAAAAGCAGCCATTAATTTCTAAGGCAGTATATAAATTGCCCAGAAGGAAATGTTTTATTTATAAAAATCTCTGGGTACCTAATACAGTGCCTGGCATATAATTCTCACTGGGCTAATGCTTTCTTGACTTGCAATATGACTAGAATAGAATATTATACCCCAAGGCCATAATAAAAATGTAATAACCCTGAAGGTCTGATTTCTACTGAAGGGCCCTGATGGCATGGGGACAAGTGGAGTGCTAGAGTGAAAGGAGAAAGGGCACTGGAGACAGCCAGACTGGTATTTGAAAAGAAGCTTTTCTCCGTACCAGCCATGTCTGCAGTCTCCAACCTTGGGCCACAGACCGGTACCATCCGTGGTTGTTAGGGACCAGGCTGCAGAGCCCTGCTGCCACCTCCCTCTTCCTTGGAAAAATTGTCTTCCATGAAACTTAGGAACTGGGGGCCGAACGCAGCAGGATGTGAATGACAAGCGAGGGAGCAAAGCTTCATCTGTATTTACAGCTGCTCCCCACCGCTGGCATTACCTGAGCTCCGCCTCCCCCTCCCCCCCCTCCACCCACCCTCCATCCATGGAAAAATTGTCTTCCATGAAACTGATCCCTGGTGCCAAGTAGGTTGGGGACCACTGACTATGTGACTACGGGAATTTCCTTAATTTCTCTGAGCCTCACCTTCTGCATCTTCATAGGATATAGAATTTTTCTTATAGGGCTGTTGCAAAGACAGAGAGATAATATCTGCAAAGTGCTTAACACACTGCTGACACATAGTAGACTATCCTATGCTGTTATACTACTAATAAAGAGTAATGGGCAGGTGGCCAGTGAAGTTTCCATTGACTTCCTCTAAGACAATCCCATTTGAACTCTAACTCTCACTCATCAACATGCCCTGTTTTCCCCCAGGACACTCCCAAAGCATCCCTCTGGTATCATGAGACCCAAGAGGCACACCTGAGGGCAAAGGGCAGTCAGAGCCACATCAGGAGCCTGACCAGCAGTGGGGGTGGGGCGCCTGGCCATGGGTGAGGTCCCCTCCAGGAAGGTGAAAGGGATGTCTGGGTCAGCTTAGAAGGCATAAAGATGACTCCTCTTGACAGTGGCCGGCTCTGCAGCCCAGTTTGTGCCATTATGCCAAAAAGATCACATCTGCCGCCTAAGCCAAGAGAAACAAGGTCAAATGACCAAACTTTCTTCCCCACTCTGGGGAAGCAGCTATTTGAACACACAGAGAGAGAGAGAGAGAGAGAGAGAGAGAGAGTTGGAGTGCTAGGAAGGGGCAGGATGGCCCTGTCAGACAAGAGGTAAAGGGAGTGCCCCAATCAAACGTGGCCTCACAAATGGATGAGGTACCCTTGCTCTCCCTCTTGCTACTTCCTCCCTCTCATTTGTGGCAGAATGACAAATGTAATCATTTTAAAAGGTCCTGTCACCTGCTCAGTCATTCCCAATAAGCACCCACAGCACCATGGGAAAACTGACACCACCACCATGGGATTTTGGCCAGGAGAAAAATCAAATCATCAGGATGCCACCAACCAAATTGTCAAAGACCGAATAAAAAGCTTCATGAATTCTCCATCAGCAATATAACGCTTCCTGACCTAAGCAAATATAGACCTAGCATATGAATTGTGGAGGGATTTTGCATTATTAGCCTCAATGGCTTCCAACAGCTAAAGCGCAAACCCCTAACAAATCTATGTCTCCATAAAGCTGCCTTTATTGGCTCTAATCCTGTTAGGGTGCAGCTGTAATCTCCTTCCTGAGCCCCCTTCCTTTAATGGAAAGGTTCACATCCCAGCACCATAAATACATTTTGGTGGCCTCAGCTAAAAAGGGGACTTTGGAGAGATGGAAGAGACGGAGTCACCGTGACCTCACAGAGCACCTGTCCCTCCCTCTGATGATATTGCTGCTTCTGTGTCTGACCACATGATCCAGTCAGACCATCTCACAGTCGCCCAGGTAGGCCAGGTCATTCCACCACTGCCTTAGGCTAAGAAAGCAAGACTGTTCCTCCTTTAGTGAGAAAAAACAAATCAGGTGCCTTGCTTTGCAGAAAACCCAAGTTCAGAGTCCAAGAAAGTCTGCTCAGGGCTACTGCACCCTTGAGCATAGGTGGTAGCAGAGAAGAAAAGTAAGGCAAAAGAGAAGATGGCCTGAAAATATACTATTATACAAAGAAGAAACATAGAGGGATCCAAAAAGTGTGTGGTTGGCGTCTTCTCTTAATGGAAATCTGAACCCTCATTCCAACATTCACAGAACCTCCCCCAGCCCCCTTCTTCCCCACCCACTGCCCTGTCTTTCTCCTGGTGGCAGCCCTTATACGCACAGACACATATAAAAATGCAGCTATCACCCCACGCTGAGGCATCATACACACACACACACACACACACACACACACACACACACAATGCAAGGCTGAAAAAAGAGTGGTGGCTTAATTTTTCCAAGTTGTATAAAATACACGCCCCACCTCAAAAAGAAAGCTCAATTCTGAGCAAGCTACCACCCCCAAACAGAACACTCAGGAGCGCTTCCCCCTTCAGATGCTGCCACTCCGCCTGCTCCCACAACCCGGGTGACGGGTCCCCTTCCTCCTGTCCCCAGTGCTGACAACGCCCAAAGCTCCCCCGGTCATCCAACCCCTGCCCTGCTCTCGTCCACGAGAGCGGACTTACCCCAGTGTGGTCATGGTGACAATGGTGTACCAAAAAGAGGCAGGGATGCTCGTGAACTTGCTGGCCGAGGAGCCCTTCTCGGCATAAAACATCACAGTGGCGAAGATGATGATGGCCATGGTGAGGGAGAAGAGCAGAAAGCCGAGCTCAGAGGCACAGCTCTTCAGCGTGTAGCCCAGGATCCGCAAGCCCTGGGAGTGGCGGGAGAACTTGAAGATCCGGAAGACGCGGAAGACGCGCAGCGTGACAAAGGCCCCGGACACGTCCTCGTTGTCGGTCATGACCAGGCCGATGTAGTAGGGCATGATGGCCACCACGTCAATGATGCTCATCACGCTGCGGATGAAGCGGTAGCGGCTGGGCGCCGCGAAGAGCCGGAGCAGGTACTCCACGGTGAAGATCATGACGCAGGCCGTGTCCAGGCAGAAGAAGGCCACCGAGTAGCGCTCCCCGCACGGCAGCTCCTTGCTGCCCGGCACCGTGCCGCACGGCACCGTCTCCACCACGTTGGTGATGACCGAGACGGCGATGAAGAAGCCAGTCACGTAGTAGAAGACCAGGGCCATGGTGCTGGTGTGCGGGTTCTCGAAGGCCCGCCACATGGTCTGGCGGAAGCTGAGCGAGGGCATGGACTCCTGGTTGTTCTCCGAGTCGTTGTCGTCCATGAGCCGCTCGGCGTTCTCCCTCTTGCGGTCCTTGTACTCCTCGTAACAGCAGTCGCCGATGATCTCGGGCAGGATGCCGTAGAAGGCCAGCTCGTCGTCGTAGGCGGAGATGCACTCGTAGCGCGGGTAGTGCAGCTTGCCGGTGCGGTAGAAGTTGAGCACGCAGCGGAACACCTCCGGGTCGCGGTCGAAGAAGTACTCCTTGGTGTCCTCGTTGAAGAAGAACTCCTTCTCCGTGCTGCCCAGCAGCGTGTCCGGGTAGCGCTCCAGCGTGGTCCTCCAGGTCTGGAACCTCCGCCCGCTCACGTTGAGCACGATCAGTTCATCCTGCCGCTTGTTCTTGTCGGCCGGGGCGAGCGGCATGGGGCAGTTGGCCACCGGCATCCACCCGATGGCCGCAGCCCGGGCAAAGGGCAGCCAGGCTGCGACTCCGGCCGCCATGGCCACTCCAGCTCCTGGGCCGGCAGCTGCGCGGACACTTTGCACACCAGCTTGGAGTTAGTTCAGCGACCCCTGGGAAACGGGAGGGGAGGGCAGAGAAAGCGGTGAGCCCATATGGATTCACAGGTAGGAAATGGGACCCGGGGAAGGGTCACTGGCGAGTGAAACGGCAAAACTCTCCAAAGCAAACTAATGAAGCTGAAATCACCACCATGGAGAAGGGACCTGATGCTTTTCTGTCCGCCCCAGGTAGAGAGAGCACCTAGCACAGGGCAGTGCAGCAGGGTGAGATCACCAGATGTTTCTGACTGCCTGACACACTGTCAAGTTCCAAGAGGGCTCAGGAGCATTTGGAGGGAAGGCCTCTTTAGCAGGAAGATCTGGGAAGACACGGGTAATAATCAGCTTTGAAAGGTTATGGCGTTATTATGAATTTAAATTGGGAGAGGGTAAATGAGTTCTCATTAAACGAATTTAAAAGTGGGATAAACATGCTAATTTTTATTTCATTCTTCACCCACCAGGGTAATCAGGAATGGGGTGCAGATGAAGGAGATCAGGTGCACACATTCTTTCTACTCCTCCCTGGTGAGGAGGAGGCTAGGGCTGCCCATGTCTAGAACGTTCTCTGAGATGGCAGGTGACCACAGTAGGCCATGGCCTGGTGAAGCTTTCTCCCCAACTCCCACAGCGAAGGCTGTCCTTGGTGGAGAGGTACTGTGTGGGACACTTGGCCCCCACTCCTTGCCTTAGCAACCCAGTGTCCAATTTCATTCCTCAGGGCCATGATGGAAAGACATGGGAAAGGTCGTAAGGCCGAGCAAGGTCTCTTTCCCTACCCCGTGAGGGGTGTCTTGGACTCCTGGTTCACCTGACTTCCATGCATTGTCCCTCTCCCTCAGAGGAAGCTTATCCACGCTTACTGCCATCCCTAGATTCCTTGCCTCCTGTCTCCATCTGCCCACCCTCTGTATCTCCCTTGGGTTATATAACAATACTCCTTCCCATGCCAGCCTCTCTCACCTGGCCCCCACTCCACCCTCAGATATTTTTCCAGAGCTGGGACACCTTGTCCCTTCACCCACACCTCCCTGAACCACACTGTGTACACACTTCCCCATCACCTGGCTGGATGGAGGGAACAGTGACATGGAGAATTATATTTGGCTTTGGGAAACAGATTTACCTTCCCAAATTTGGCTTTTTAAAGATGATAGTGAAATGACTCTGCAGTCCCCAAATGTATACCATCTGTGGGAAGGCATGTGGTGACACAGAAACACACGTAACAGCAACGGGAAATTGCTTGGGGTTGGCACATTCATCCCCACTAATCCTAAACTGATCACACAGAACAAATCCTAACTCAGAATTATTTAGACCCTCTGGGATTCAGTTGTTTTGACTCTATGTTTAAATAAACAAGGCAGAGGTGAGTCTTGGAATATATATATATATATATATATATATATATATATATATATATTTTTTTTTTTTTTTTTTTGTTACCCAAAGACGGGTAGTGGGATTTGATCTTCATCTCTGTCTGCAAAGCTGCTTCACCTCCTCCTGACTTCCAACTCTTCTATGTTTTTCAGATTTCTACTTCCTCTCACTCCCAAGCTGGCACTGGACTTTTCTACTTGGATGCCTCTACAACGGGACAGGTTTAAAAAGGACCTACCTCCTTGCAAAAAGCTGTTCTTCACCTTTTGCTCATGGTATCCCTAACCACAGGCCTGTCACTTTGACCATCTTTCTCCAAAGAGTTGCCAAATAATGAGGCAGTAGCTCTTACTGTTTTCATGAAGGCCCAAAGTCACTCTTACTAGCACCTCCTTTCTCCTATTGCCCTAAAACCCATTGTGTTTGCAGTAATCTCCCTAAAGCAAGATTCTGATCATGTTTTACCCCACAGCCTATAAAATAAAGTACAAACTCCTTGGCCCAGTATTCTAGCATTCCTACAAATGGATTCTGGCTTCAAATTCCAGCCCAGTGGCCCAAACACCCATCCTAGCAAGCCGGGTTCATGGATAGACCCTGGGGAGGTCTGTCTCTGGACTACTCCTCTTGCTGATGGGAATATCTGTCACCTTCATTGCTCCTATTAGGATCCTACCATTCATTATTCTCTGTGATGCCTCCTTCTCTCCCTGGCTATGAGATTCTCTCCTTCCTTTGGGCTCTTAGCACTTTGTTTACCTCTCCTCTCTAGCACCTATCAGCCCCCGGCCAGGATTACAGATACTTTATACATGTCTTATTAGTAATAATGGCTAACAATACTTGAGCATTGACTTTATACATGCTATTAGACTGTCTCCCATGGATTATCTCATTTAATCCTCATGGCAACCCCAGGAAGAATAATCTACTGTGTCCCCCATTCCATAGATAAGGAAAGCTAAAGCTACTGAAATGTAGCAGTCTGACACCCCAAAAGTGGAGAATAGGGATTCCATCTGAGGCGGTTCGCCGAGTGCTGTGTGCCAGGCATAGTGCACGTGCTTACATGGATCTCAACTGATCCCACCAGCAACCCCGTTGGGTGGATGCCACTATAGACCTTATTTTGCCTACAAAAGAAAGATGGAGCATACAAAGTTATAATAATTGTCTAAAGGTTGTGATAAGTAGGCAGAGCAATTTAAACCCAAGCGGTCTCAATGAGGAGTTCAACAGCATAGCCTCTCTCCTGATTTCCCTATCCCACACTAAGATCTTTAAGGGGAAAGGCCATGATGGCCCAGCTTTTATATCACAACCCAGGAGGTAGCACAGTGCACTGCATTAGTGGATACTCAAGCCGAGAACCCTGGGTTTATAGACACTATTTGCATTCCATCAATTTTACTCCATGCCTTGCTAATGTATTTCAGGGGTTGTTAAGGGTAGGTGTTCTCTCTCCAAACAGTAAATTCTGAAGACAGATCTGAATCAAGAGAATCCAGTTCAAGTGTCCGCCTCTGACTCAATGTACCCAGTCACGTTTTTCTCAAGGAGTCGATCTCTGCCTCAGTTTCCCCATATGCATGCTAAGGGGAATTTTCATAGGTTCCCTCTGCTCCCTAATAAAGGGAGGTTGGTTCAGTTGCTATTGAAGACAACAGGAATGACAATGACATTTCCCATAAGCGTCACCACTCAGAGAACAGAAAAACAGCACAAGGCCAATGAGCTCTTTATTATAGGAACCGAGGGAGCTGAGGAAAGACTGGGGATCATTCATCCATAGCAGTGGGTAACCCACCGGCTGCTGATAGAAGATTCGGGAACACATTTTATGTCTGTCCTGCATTTTATATCTTTCTTCAAGAAATCTACCCTTATAACTAACTATACTTTCTTTAGGACTAGACTTTGTAGTTCTTCAGCAGACACTTAACTAGGTTTTCTAAGGGACAAGGGGTGTTTGAGAAGCGAGCCCACAATTTAAACCCTGGTCACAGATTATTCCAATTCAGACTTAGTTAACATTTACTGAGCACTAACAGTGCTCTGGGCACTAGGCTCCTAAGTACTTTTACACACAACATTTAATTTATTCTCACAAGAATTCTGTGATGTAGTCGTTTCTGCCACAGATTACAGGTAGCAGACTGAGACTCAGAAAGGTACCTTCAAAGTGGCTAATTCTATGGGATTTGACCATTTTCCAATAGACTGTTAATCGGCTCACTGCCAAATGGCTTTCCTGATATAGGTGCAGCCAAATACTGATGTTCCCTACAGCAGAGAGCAGGATGCAGAGACTCCCCCGACCCCCTCCCCTCCTTCCCCAGGCAGCGAAGAGCAAGGGCTCATGAGGCCTTGCATTCCAGTTTCAGTTCTATCTTGAATTTGTGAAAGCAAGCCACTGTCTGTCAAATGAGAGAATTGGACAAGAAAGTGACAAGGGACCGTATGGCTCAAATAATCCCTGACTCTACTGGATCCAGGACATCAAGGCTCTAGCTCAAGTCTCGCTGAGACCTCTTCATGACACTTGCCCATGCAAAGAGGGAAGCAAAGCATTTGGGCTTGTTGCTGTGGGGATGGAGTTAGCCTGAGCCTCATCTTAGCAAATGGAGTTCTGGGAATTCCTGCTTAGACTGGCACCCAGTACAGGGCACACAGCCTGTGTCACTTGGAACCCAAGGCAATCCAAGGCATAGACCACCCACAGAGCCCCTGGTTACCCTCCTAGAGAGTAAAGGGGACCAGGCTCCTAGATTTGGGGACCTGGACTTCTGACTTTTAATATCCCTGCTTTATCCCAGAATGGAGCTCAGAGAGGCAGGACACTGAGGGGTCTAAGTGGCAAAGAGTAAGAGACCACTGAATAAGGGGGTACCCTGTGGAACCCTGCTTGGCCAGACTCTCAGCTCTGCCCCTTAAGAGGATGCTGCCCTTACTCTTCCATTCTCTAAGTGCCGCTCTACCCTGACTCCTAAGCCTTAATGTCCCTGCCAAGTGGAGCCCTATCATGCTGCCCTCTCTACCCCACACCAATCTCTTCTCTTCCGAGGGCCATGAGTATTTTATGAACTGCTTTCAGATGAATACTTGAGAGCTCAGGGGAAGGAAAAAACAACCCCTCTCTATCTATCATAAAAGCCTCTGGTCCCACGGCCAAACCTTTACCCCATTCCTAATCCAGGACAATCTTCCTAAAGAAGGCCAGGCAAACACCAGGCTGTCTCCAGAGGCTCAGAACCTGTCCCCTGGTAAAAAGTACCAAAAAAGGAGCAATTACCCCATTGCTACTTTGTGGGGAGGGGTGGAAGGGGAGGACAAGTATCCCAGCAGATACCATGCCCAAGGCCATACTGGCCATGCCTGACACGCAACCCTGCAGGTATGATCTGACTCAAGCAGGACTTCTCCATGGCTCACACCACAGCGCTCGCCTCCCGGAGCCAGCCTGGGTATGAATTCTTGCAACAGGCACAACAGTGCGGCCCCATTTCCAGCCAATGGCACCGCACATGCCTCAAATGCCAAGATTTTACTAGGACGTGGACGCCTTACGAATGAAAAATCTGAAGCTATTTTTGTTTTTGGCAGAAGAGTTTGACAGTGGGAAAGATGTGGGGGGAAGGCTGGAAAAGAGATTTAAAACAGGTGAGCTCTGAAAATGAAAAAGGTAGAAAATCCTGAAAAAGGAAAATATGTTTTCCCCTGCTCTAAAAAGTCAGCTGCCCTATTAAGCAGCTTCTGTTTTGGAGGCAGAGGGCCAAAAGTGGGCAGAGTGACCAGATAGCCTGTCCTGGGGTTTGATACCTAGTTGAGGATAGGCATAAGGTAGCAAAAATATCATGTCACCAGTCTGCCCTTCAATGACCTCAGTGGGGAGTCTCTGGAAACTTACTTTCCACAATCTTACATCACATCCCTTAGCCCAGAATGGGGCCAGTCTGGGGACAGGAGAAAGTGCCCATGAGCTAGGGGGTTTCTCCCATATCCACAAGATTTGGGTAGGTAGGCATAAAATTGACAGGGTGAACCAGGCTGGGGATCCTTGGGGCACAGGCCTGGAATCTACACACTGATCCTCTTCTCTGACAGTGCCACTCCTAGGTTGGCCAGGGCACTTTCCTGAACTCTTTTTTTCCCTCTAGCTTCCTCAACAGCAAAAGGGAACAAGCTACTAATCTTTCTTCCTCTGGGGGTCCCTTGTGTACTTGCATTTTGTTGCATTCAAGTAGCGACAAGGAAAAACAAACACATCAGTTCCCTTCCGTGTGCCAACACGTCCACATGGGGAAATGTACACATGCTTTGTATTGAATTCGTGCACGGCCAGGAGCCCTTTCCACAGACATTGAACATCCAGTCTCCCTTGAAGTAACGGTAAACAAGGCATAAATTTAACCATCACGGACATTCATGCAAAATACAGCAACGCACGCCTGGCCTTACAAGCAGATCACACTGTGCTTAGGGCCCCAGAAAGTTCAGACGCTCTCTCCTAAATACACGGAACCTTTTTCCTTGCTGTAAGAATTCCAGGTCTGGAACCTCTGCCTGTTGCTAATATATCAGGGCTGCCCGGGATAAAAGCAGAACATCTTGGACCTGATTCAAATGTCAACACTAAGCAAGCAAAGGAATTGAGTTGATTCCAGGTAACTTTGCCCAGCCCCTTCCGCCCTCCAGCCCCAGCGTAAACACCTCATAAAGTGAGTCTTTCTGAACTCCCCTCCCCAGGGCCGTGATGGCCCTTGATGTCGCGTAGAGACCTTTCCCAGAGCTCGCGGGCTGGAACAGCGTCGGGCAGGACCAGACGGACGGCCCCCAGCCTTTGGCAGGCACATCGCCGGCTCTCGGGGCTGGAGAACTTTGCGAAGCGCCCCAAACCGCTCCCGGTTTCCACTCTCAGCCATGTCTCTCCTTCTCCCCTCACAAAGAGCAGGGACCGAGCAAGCCTTCGCCACCTGCCTCCGGCACCCGCCAAGGGAAGGCAGGCCAATGGAAAGAGGGCAGAGGTTCACACCCCACCCCCAAACCTCACAGCGCCTCGCTGTCCGGAGGTGGCTCCACAGCCGGAGGGAACCGACGCCCCCAGGCCGGCTGCCTGCTCCCCCGCCGCACGCGCCCCACCCCCAATCTTTCCGGCGCCCCAGCGCCCACCCACCCGAGCGCGGGAGTGGGAGGGTGCCGCGTGGGCAGCTGGAGCAACAGGCGTGGGAGCAGCGCTCCTCGCACTTCCTGGCTCCAGAAGGCTCGGTCGCGTCCCTCTTACCTTCCGCGAAGCAAGCCCGGGCCCCGCGCCCCGCGCCCCGCGCGCGCGAGGAAGCTGCGGCCGGGAGCCGGGGGCCGCGGAGGCGCCGAGCGCCCAGCAGCGCAGGGAAGCGCCCAGCAGCCGCCGCTTGCGCGGCTCCTCCTCGCCAGCGAAGTCTCTCTCGCTCCCTCCTTCGCTCGGTCGGTTCGTGCGTCCGTCCGTCCGTGGGGCCCTCCCTCCCCCGCCGCTGCCGCCGCCACCGCCGCCGCCGCCACCGCCGCCGCCGCTCCAGCCCCGGCTCGGCAGCGCGTCCCCTCCCCGCCTCGCCGCTCCGCTCGCGGGCTCGCGGGCTCCCTCGCTCGCTCCCTGCCCCCGCCCTGCCGGCGCCGTGCGGACCGGAGCCCGGCCGGCCGCGGGCTGCCTCTCCCGAGGGCCCTCTCCTGAGGGGGTGGCTGTGGGGGCGCGGCGCGGGCGGGGCGGAGATGAGAGTCCGGGGGAGGCGGCGAGGCTGCGCCCTCGGCTCCCTACCGATCCCCGCGGGCCGAGCGGCCCCAGGCCCGGCCGGAGAGCTGCGAGTCTCCAGGCAGCGGAGCGAGAGAGGAGGAGGACCCGGAGTCTCGCCGCGGGAGGGTGCCCAGGGCGAGGGCGTGCGAGGGGGAGTGACTCCGCGCGCGAGGGTGTATGTGAGAGTGTGTGTGTGTGTGCGTGTGTGTGTGTAGAGGGGCGCGCGCGTGAGCGGGGGTGGGGAGATGAGGCAGAGCCTGGTGCGTCTCCCGGGGCGAGTGGAGGAATCCTAGGGTGTGCCTGGAGGTGGCGAGTGTACCGACGCGGGTGTGAGCGCCTGTGCTGGCGAGGGTGGGCACGGGGGGAGCGTGGCAAGGTGAGCTTGGCTTGGGGGTGGGGGAGGAGCGGAGAGTAAGGCGTGAGCGTGAGTTCGGGGGCGTATGTGGCTGGGGACCGGAGAAGAGGTGGCAGGGAGCGCCGGCGTGTGCGCGCGTGGGGTGTGTTCACCTAACTGGGTGTCTCTTTCTTACCGACTGTCCACACGGCAGCAACACCGGCTTCAAGCCAAGCCCGGCCACCTCGGAAGGGGAGCCCGCCGCCGCCGCGCAAGCTTCCTGGCTCGCCCCCGGCTCTTTGCTCGGTGTGCCCCGGCTGGAGAGGTCTCAGGGGGATATTCTGCCCTTAGCCTACGTAAGAGCACCATTGGAAGGTCAGGATTCGCCCTCATGTCCCGCCACATGTTCCCAGTACCCAGAACCCAGAGTCTGGACTTGGCAGCGTGAACTCTCACACCCGCACCATTCCCCTTCCTGCTGGAGCCGGCCCAGTCCCTCGATCCCTCCCTGGAGCGCATGGGTCCCCACTGCCCTGTGCCTCATCTACCCAGGATGAGGAGTGGGAGGTCTGCATGTGCCCACAGGCAGGGTGTCCGGCCTGGATTCCCACCCTCAGGGCCGTGGCGCGGAGGGCGCAGTCCCCGCCGCTGGGTGGACAGGCGGCTCCGGCTTTCCCGGCGTCTCACTCAGCCTCTGTGCTTGGAATCCCGGATCGTGGCCTGGCGCTTGGGAGGCGAGGCAGCTCCGTGCCTCAGCGAGGACGCGAACGCTTGGCTCGAGCGATCACAATTCCGGAGGTGGGGAAGTGCGTGCGGCGACAGAAACCTAGAGAAATGCAAAGTGTGCGGTGACCGCGAGGGACTTGAAAGGGCTGTTCTAGATCGGGGCTGGAAAAGGACCTCTCTGAGTCCAGAACAGGGCTTCTAGCTTGTGAGAACTCCTAGCCCTGTTCCAGATTCAAGGGTGGGGGGTCGTAAATTGTGGTCAGAGCCCTTGTGGGCGGGACCCTGGCAGCTTAGAGCCCCGCATTCACTCACTCTCACACTCTCCCCAAAGCCCCCTTCAGAGTGTCATTCTGAAAGGTGCACAATTGGCCCTTCAAGAGGTGGGCGTGGGCTTCATTAGCATGTGCCTGGAGTCCCGAGATTTGCATACAGTAATAATGATTAACAACACTGCCACTCCCTGGCAGACAGGGGAAGAATTCAGGGAAGGCCCTGGCACTTCTCCCACCTCCCTCTTCCCTTCCCTCTGGGGAAGAGCTAATTTTCTCACTGCCGCACACCTCAACTGCTCTGTCCCCTGGGAGAAGGTACTTCAGAGCCTGGGTGGTCTGGTCTCAGGAGGGGCACTTTCCTTCTGTCCTCCGCCCCATGTTCAACTCAGAAGAGTTAAAACCCAGTATTTTATTTCTGCCCATGTTTGAACTCCTGTACGTTCCCACCATTGTTTTGCATCTTGAGAACAGCTCAGGGGATGGGTCTGCCTCAAAGCTTGGAGGCTTTGGGGGACAGTTAGCTGGGGACATCATTTATTCCCTGAAGAGGTCAACTAATGGGACAGCTGTGGCCTCCTGGGCTTTGTAAGCCCTGTTTGAAGACAGGACCCTGGTTTGGACAGCCCCCCTTTCCTCCACTCATTCCTCCCAGGCTCGTACATCATTGCCGGAGTGAAGTAGCTGCAGAGTATTCTCTCCTGTCTGTCTTGAAGTTTCAGAGGAAAGTCTGAAAGACTTGGGTTTCTAGTCCAGGCCAGTGCGGTTCCTGTTTACCAGCCCTTCCTACAACCAGGTGACCTGGAAAAATAAGAGAGAGCAAGTGATGGGGAGGAAGGAGGTCCCTCAGCTCTGGCAGCTGGAGGAGCCACTGCGCAGGAGTGCCGTCCCTCCCAGCGACACCCGGCCCTCCAGCGCACCCTCCCAGCACTGCCTGTGCTCCCCCTCCCCCTCTCTGCCTCTGGCCCGGCCTGGCCGGGATTTTCACTTGCTTTTCCCCCATGACACGGCCGCTTTTCCTTTAACTCTCAGCTTCTATTTAAAAAGCTAATTTGGGAGCTTGTCGATGCTCCCAATTCAGACATTTTAAATAGGAACTGAAAGTCAGGAGCTGCCAGGGCACTAGATTTCCTCCCCTTGCCACCAGCACAGGCGAGGCGTTTGTTCAGTCGCTCCGCTGGCCCTGGCCGTGTGTGCCTGTGTGTGTGAGCACCCGGGAGCTCGGTGTATTTCAGGCTATCTTTTCTATTTAAAGACAGTGCTCCTATAGATGACTATTCTTTCCCTGTGTGTGTGTCCTTTCCAAGCTGTGCACACATGAGGATTCCTCTTTAGTCCCGTGGCTCTGGCCGCTATTTGCAGAGCTTGTCACCGTGTGGACTGCGAGGGTAAGAGGCAGCCCAGCTCAGAGTCAGCCGCCTCTTTGCTGACATGCCGGGCTTGCGTGTGTTTGCGTGGCTGTTTCCCAGGGCTGCTGTGTTCAGGCTCCTTTGAAGCAGTGCCTCAGAGTGTCCTTAAAGGTCATTCCCACCCTCACTGCTTATAGCTGTCCTAATCCGCCCCATACCAGAGCAGGAATTTTGAGGGGTGGGGCTGTTCTTCTAAGGATTGCAGGCTTTCTACCATGCAGGTAAAAAGCACAGACTTCGAGATCAGTCTGCCTGAGTTTGAACCTGCCTCTGCTGTTAACTAGCTGTGTGACCTTGGGGAAGGGACTTAGCTTCTCTGTGCCGTGACTTCCTCATCTCTAAAATGGCAACAAATAACACTATCAGCCTTCTAGGGTTGTTGTGAAGATGGAATGAACTATCACAGATGAAGTGTTTAGAACAGTGCCTGGAACATGGGCAGTACGATATAATTGTTGGTTGTGTTTGTTGTTCAAGGTATGAGTGGTGCACTCAGGAAGTGCAAAGAAATCCGCCCGAGGAGGCAGATAGAACTGCTGGATCGTGCACACAGACTACACATAGTCACAGACACACATCCAAGCATGTGACGATAAAAATGCCAGCCCACAAAGAGTCAAGTCCACCTTGTTGAGATAGCTAATTCCCTAAGCCCCAGAAAAGGTGCTTCTGGTAAAGGAATAGAAGGGTATTGTAGGGATGGGGGTGAGGAAGGGCTCGACCATGTCAGAAGCCCATGGGGCATTTTCTGGGGGCCAATTTCATGTTGGAGAAGTAAGTTCCAGGACCCTCCCTCTCCACATGACACCAGCCACCCTTATCTACCCAAGAACATCCAGCAAGGCTTAGGAAAGGGACGCTCCAGTGAGGGACTCGGGAGGGCTGGCTTCTCATTCTCCTCGAGTCTCCCCTGGGGTTTGGGGTCCTCTTACTGTGATCCTGCCATTGCCTCCCATCCTTATCCCCACAGCTGGGCATGTGAGCATGTACTTGGTTGCCATCAGAGTTCATTTCACCTCAGCTCATGAGCACCTAGGAAAGGAGATGGGGACCCAGAAGGCTGTCATCAGGAAGGGGACTTCTGAGCAACTGAGCAGAGGAGGGCTGTCCTGGGGATCCAAAGCAATGTTACAGACCTTTGGATTACATCAGGCTTAGCGTATCAGCCTTAAGTGGAGGAGCCGCCACATGCTAGATCTTCAGTGCCCCTGCACTGCTCGTATTACCATCATTTTATAGATAGGAAGACGAAGGTAGTTGGTAGAGAGGGACACTCCAGAGGGATGTGAGGCTGCGTAGCTGGGGGAAGCCCTGAGCTCTCCCTTTGCCCCTCGCCCAGTATGCTGGTTTTTCCCTCTTCTGAGAGTAGAGTGGCCTCCTCAGTCAGAGGGAGGGTCTGTCCTAAGAGGCCACTCTTGACCTGGATGTCTTGGCCTCGCCTGTGTTTGGCCTCTGTAGGGTTGAATGTGAGGTAGAGGCTTAGTGTGTCTAGGTTTGGGGTGTGCCCTCTGAGTTTTCTTCAGGGTGAAGTTTGCCTGGGAGGTTCCAAGGCTTGGTGGTGTCTGGCGTTCTCTAGTTTTCCAGGGTGAGGTAGGTGGTGATGATATAAATTCTCAGGAGTTTTGCCCCCATCCCAGAAAGCCAGGGGGTCACCTTCTGGGTATTAGCCTAGGATGTCTAGCTTGGCCAGGCCAGGATGTGCAGGTGGCCCTAGTGGCTGAATGGGCACAGCCATCAGGTACTTCTGGTCCCTTCCTGATGGTGGAGAACCCTCACTTCCTGCAGCCCTAACTCCATTTGGGAGGCCAGTGGTGGCAGGGGTGGTTATCTCATTAGTCAATACACTCAGGCCAGTTATGGCACTTGAGAAGCCATCACAGTTGCTGGGCTCCAGTGGAGCTGTGACAGTCCTTCCCGTGGACCTTATGTCAGCCTGGCCCCTGCTCCAACTGAGGCAGATCCTGGGGAAGGCATAGCTCTGGTGGAGGGTTTTCTGCTTATCAAGACCTCCTAGAGGTAGAGGCCAGGGAAGGAAGAGGAGGGGAAGGAAAGGAGGAAACTAGGTATGAGTAGGGGAGTCAGGTACTGGGAGGAAAAAAACTAATTGTTTGCTTAGTTTCTTGCTAGAAAATCTGGAGAAGGGTGGGTGAAGCCTGGGGATATAGCTCTTAGGTGCAATGGCCTTTGTTTTCCGCTGCTGGCTCCTTTCTATCTGCTCTCTTCCCTGGAGAGTTTATGCAAGCCCAGGGTTTCAGGTTCACTCAGATGCTCACGATTTCTTCCTGAGCTCTCCCTGACCCCATGACTATCCACCGAGTATCTCTATCTTTGTGCACAGGCATCTCGATGCTTCATTTCCCCACCCTCCTTCTCAGCCTTCTGCCGTCAATCCTTTCCTCAAAATACCCTCTTCTGATCATTTCGTCTCCTTTACTTCCTTTCTGGCCATACCCTCTTCCACTCACTCACCCACTCACTCCTCACTCCTTTCTTTCTAACACTTAGACCTTTTCTCCATTACCTGACAAAAATCTCATCCTTTCACATCTTCATGCCTTTGTATATGCTGTACTCTCTTCCAGAAATGCCCTCTACCACGTCCTATTTCTTTTGACTTCCTAGCAAAGTTCTACTTGGCCTTAAACCTTAAATACCCAACACAAATGTCACAGAAGAAATGTTGGTAAACTCCTCCCTCATACCCCAGGGTGAACTAACCATTCCCAGTTTGGACTTCCACAGTCCTTCCTGCATAACTCAGATATGGTTCTTATGACCTGTTTAGTCTTAGCTGTCTGCATGGTAGTATCCCTCTCTTTAAGCTGTTTAAAGCAAGGACCATTGTCTTAGCTATTTCTGAACTCTAGATCAGTGCCTGGTACATTGCAGATGATCAGTACATTTGCATTATGAATTTATTTCCACCTTCATTCCCATGGCTCCCTCGACTGTGTGTAACTGAGAATATGCGATAAATTTGTTGACTGGTCAGTCTCCAAGTCCTATCTGATTGATCTTAAGCACTAGCATGAGGACAAAGAGAAAGGACAAGGGTGTTCGATTTTTGGCTGATCCTAGATGAAAAGATCCCCAAAGCCCTCCTCTTCCAGTGGGGAGGGAAGGAAAAGCTTTCCAGATCTACAAAGTGAGCCTCAGTCAATGCTGCCTGCAGAGACCCGACCAGTCTTCTCTTGAACCAGATTGGTTTTCAGGGAACTCTTTTCTCTCTTTTTTTTTTTTTTTTTCCTTTCTGGCAGAATGTCAATCACATACCCAGAATATCACCTTTGTGGGTACAGCCAGGGTATAGGCAGTTGGAAATGTCCCTGGTTGCCTGCAGCAGTGACTGCTTACCATAAAACCAGTATGGAGGACTGCCAAAAACCCATTAGCCAAAATCTCTAGATGGCTCAAGGAGCTGCGAAGACCAAAAGTTGCTGGACTTTAAGTATAAAATGTTTGAAAACCACATCAGCAAATCTAGGACAGTGGAGGCCTAGTGGTGTGAACCTGGGCTCTTGGCAGAACTGACTTCGCGTCTTGGCTGTGTCATTCACTGACTGTGACTTTTGGGCAAGCCACTTTACTTCTCTGATAGTCAGCTCCCTTGCCTGCAAAATGGGTTACAGTGATGGCATCAGCTTCATGAGGATTGAGTTAGATAAAGCATACATATCTCATAGGCAATAATAAATAAAAATGTTGGCCGTTGTAATATTGCAACTGAGTCTACACATGTCTGAAACTAGCTCTTTTAAATCTTAGGCACAACTTTATAAACAGTGCTTGTTTGTGAAGAAGTTTAGTCTGGTCGCCTGAGTTCTTTCCATGTGATTATTGTTCATATTGGACCTTAGGACATTTTTAAAATCAGAGAAGTTTGTCCCTAAACACTTTTTTCCATTGGTCCCTCTCTCCATTTCGTGGAACCCTATTTGTGCAGCTGTGAGCTTCAAGTGCCCATTTCTCTCATTCCTTCTGCATCAGCAAGATCTGATAAAATTATTTAAACTAACGTGTAAGTGACTATCCCATCCAGACATACAGTATTTCCATTTTAACAGAATGCACCTTAATGCAAGGCAGTGAAATAGAGTGGATGGGGCTTCAGGCATTCATCAGAGTAATGGGGACAGTTTGAGGGGCCTAGGAGGCTCTTCCTGACTCCACAGAGTCCTGTCCACTCATAAAACTGGTTCTACTGATGCAATTATAAGCAACAAGGTGGGCTGTTTCTGAACTCTCCATCTAGAAAATCAACTCTCCACCTGTCGCAAAAGTGTTGTAATAAGGAAATTTGGGCACCAATTTTATGTGCCAACCTCCCTGGTAAACAGACACAGCTCATGATCACCAAGGTCCCTTCCAACATGGCATATCTATGATACTCATACTCAGGTGCCTTTTTTCTTTAGGGCTCTGGGCTGAGGTTGAGTGTTTTTGCCTCACTGGGTTTGTGGGAGACCCAGCTACAAAATCATCAATTGCTTTAGTGGAGTCAACAAGTAAAGAAGAGCAGTCCAGCTACTGTGCCCAAATTGCAAAGTCATAAGTGGTTTCTGGATTTCTCTGCAAAATCCTTGTTAAAGGTGGATCCTCACGGCTCTTAAAATTCTTTATTATAGAAAATTTTAAACATGTACAAATGATGAGAGAATTGTATAATATATTCCTCATGAACCTATCATTTATCTTTTTTTTTATATCATTTATCTTTTATAGTTATCAACTCATAGCTAATCATTTTTATCTATACTCCACTCACATACTCCTCCCAACCCCCATAATTTTGAAGCAAATTTCAAATATAATTTCATCTGTAAATATTTCAGTAGTTGCATGCTTGTTATGGCCAACAAAATCCATCTCTCTAGGGGAGAAGTTCTTCCTTCCCCGCAGGATGCTAAGAACATAGAACGTTTGGCCAGTACCTGCACCTGTGCCCAGGAATGGTCCCTGGTTTAGGCAAGTTCAAGGGCTTACTGAATGCTGTCCAAAGTCTGTCCTGTTCCTTGGGTAGAAAGAGGCACCCCTAAAATGCCTGGGAGTGGTGTCTCCACCTGCAAGCTTTGTGTCAGCAAGGTTACTGCCCAACCGCAGGATGAGGCCCGAGCTGAGAGGCCAGAGGCACAGTCATGAATCCTAACTGGGTTCATCATTTTCACGTACATTGCTTCATTTACCTTTCATCAATTCTTATTTTATTTCCATTTTACAGGCAAGAAAACTAAGACCTAAGGCCACACAGCTAGTGTAAAAGAGACTGACTAGATGCTATTCAAATTCAGTTCCTCTTTTCCATCAGCACAGTTAGATTGTATTTTCCAGATTCTCTTGCAGTTAGGTTTGGCCATCTGACTAAGTTCTGGAGAGATAATATAGGCCAGTCCCATAAAAAACATCCAGGGCAATCTAGCGCGTTCTTTCTTTCTCCATGCATCGGCTGAATGGAGAGAATTTCAAGGGCTTAGAAGAGGGCAGGGAAGGAGCCTGGGTCCCTGCATGACACTGTGAAGCAGAGAACCCTTTGAACTTTCTCTGGACTGTGAAATGAGCAAAAAATAACCTTCTATTCTGCTAAACTGCTGAAATGTGAGTGATATGTGATAAAGTAGCAAGCCTACCCTGACCGATACAGTGGCACAGATAGGATTTAAACCCTACTGCATCTGACTATGCCACTGTTCAAAATCTCCCCCTACGCCCCACAGCCTCTGGGCACAGCAAAGAAGAATCACTTCTAAGAATGTCCTACTTGCTCGACATTTGATAGAATTGTCTTCAAGGACCTCACATCTTAGGTTTGTGATAGCCACTGGCCATATGGGACTGTTAAAGGTTTATATTAATTAAAATTAAATAAAATTTAAAAGTCAGTTTCTTTTTTTTTGTATATTGTATAGTTTTATTTTGAAAACAGCTTTATTAAGATATAATTCACATACTTTACAATTAACCAATTTAAAGTGTATAAGTCAAAGGTTTTTAGTACAGTCATAGAATTGTACAGTCATCATCACAATCAATTTTAGAGCATTTTTGTCACCCCAAAATAAACCCTGCGCTCATTAGTAGTTACTCCCTATTTCCCGTCAATCCCTCAGTTCAGTTTCTTAATCGCAGTGGGCACATTTCAAGTGCTCAACAGCCACATGTAGCTTATGGCTAACACATCGAACAGTGCAGATAGAGAACGTTTTCATCATCACAGAAAGTTCTACTGGACAATGCGCCCTTCCCCAGACCCCCGCAGAAAGGCTGGAAGAGCTGGGGGTGCTGTTCATGGGAGGAGAGAGGGTGGTCTAGCTGACAGTCAGGTTACACAAGCAGAAACTCCTGTCCCCTGACTCAGGCCTTGGGTCTTTGTTCCTGACTTTGCCAGTCAACTCTCTGGCTATAATCTTGTGGCCCTGAACTCCCTGGTAACATACTTCAGATGGGACTTCCACAAACGGAATGAGCCCTGTGTGCCCAGGGCTGTGTCTCCTGAGAGCAGGGTCAACAAGCCGTTCTCTCCTCGGGACCTGGGTAGAGGCTGAGTGTCAGATACCAAGAGACTGGCAGGGGACCCAGGGCTATGCTTTCTGGCCTGGACTAGGGATAGGGAGGGAATTTTCCAAAAATGGAAACCCAACTGTGGAGGTGGGTGCTTCCATTCCTTTGCTACAAAGCAGCCAGAGCAGTTTTTCAAAACATACCCAACCCTGTTGCCCCTTGCTTGAAATCATTCTACAGGTCCCAATGCCTGCCCTCAGAATGGAATAAACGTATCTCAACAGGTCTCCTGCTGTTGTCAAATCCTTGCTTACTTCTGCATTTTCACTTTCCACTTTCTACTCCTGGGTCCTTTGAACCTGGTGATCTTGGCATATTGAAAGAGCTGGAAGTTCTCCAAAGTCCCAGGTTTCCTTATATCCTACCCAGAGAGACTGAAATCTCCAAAGTGGTAAGCTAAAGACTCCTTAAGTAATGCCTGAGTCAATTTTGCAAATACAGTTCAGTGCTAGCAGGCTCCCTCTTCACTTCTCATTAATGAAGTTGACAAAAAAGAAAAACAAACACACAACAGCCTTCTTAGTGAATTACAACACTGCTTGCATTGGTGAGGTGGTGATGAGGGACAGGGTGGAAGTGAGTTACAGACTATTTTTCTCTATTTTCTTTCTCTCAAAGATTCTTTTTACTTCCCGTTTTACCCTATCCAAGTGCTACTGAGTTGAATTTAAGTCCCCACTCAAGGTGCTGTTTTGGCCAGAACACATGAGCATGCCTTGTCTGTGTCCTTTGCCCCACCTACATGTGAACAGTGGAGCCCAGCATTCAATAAACATTTTATTTGAACCGATAGGTCTTTATCCACTAATGTCAGCTAACAAACACTTCTTGAACAACTCATTCATTCACTTAACACACGCTTCTTGCATGCCCACTAATTGCTGTGTTGTGCGCATGGCGGTGAACAAGATAAGCACAGGCTCTGCCTTCTTGGGGCAGAGTTCATGGTTTAAAGAGAAAGACAGTGAGTCTGCTCTGCACTGATGCTTAGGCTTACTAAAACTTCATCTGGGCTCAGTGAAGCCTTAGGGATAAAAAGAAGTTAGAGCTACAAATTCTCAAAATAATCCCATGAGATAGAACTATTATTATTCCCATTTTTCGGATGAAGACTTAGAGGCAAGTATCACACAGCCACAGTGGTGGTGGAGCTAGCACGTGTGACAGGGGTGTGCATGGACTCTAGGGAAACACAAGGAGGGGGCACATGGTCCAGCCTGAGTGGTCAGGGAAGAGGCTCTGGAGGAGATGACATCTGAGTGGAGTCTGGAAAGGAGGCAGGAATCCACCAAATGGGCAAGAGGACGATGTGAACACCAGGCAGAGCAAAGATATCAGGGTCTGAAACATCTCAGCCAGAGACAGGGCACATCTGGGCCATGGCAGAGGAAGCCACTCCATAGAGGTCTCATGTGACACGCTAAGGAGCTGGACTCTGTCCTGCAAGCCACAGAGTGCCACTCAAAGGCTTCAAGCAGATGCATGGTGCAGTCAGATCTTGTTTTAAAAAGCACTCTGGCCCAGCAGTATGGATAATAGATTGGAGGAGGACCAGATGGGAAGCAGGGGGACCAATTAGCAGGCTATTGCAGTATTCCAGAAGAGAGATGAAGAGGGATTCAACTAGGGCAATGGTACTGGATATGGACAAGATGGGGAATGAGATAAATACATTGGAGGTAAAAATGATCAGGACTCTGATTAGCTGGATATGGAACAACCCAAAAGGGTCCCAGGTCAGGCTGTGCTGCCTGGGCAGGTGACAGTGCCAGTCTGGGGCACAGGAATGCAGAGCTGGCTGGGGTGCAGGTACAGTCCTTCCCAGAGACAAGGGTGGTCAGAGTTCTCTCTCAGGGTCCTTTCCAGCCAGAGCTATTTATGTTGGGCTGGAGGGACCTGTCCAGCTGAGGACATTCAAGACCTGAGAGCAATGCATACCAGAATCAGGCTGCGATTCACCTAAAACAAGCTCAGCAACTCCTTTGGTTATAGGGGAATTAATTTTCAAAATAAAGCTGAGCAAATCTCAGCATAGCAGGCCATGGCATCTAGAGGCTTAGAGAACTACTGATTGCAGTCAAGAGATAAGAGGAGAGATTAACTGTCATCCTCTGCCAATCTTTCCATCCCCTTATCGTCCCCCAACGTGTACACGTGTGCACACACATGCTCACGTGTACACACACACTTACGCACATGTGTGTGTGTGGATGTGCTTTGTCATCCTTAAACTTCTCACCTTCCCCCAGACACGCCAGGCCTGTCCCACTTCCTCTTTGCACCTGCTGTTCTCTCTGCCTGCAGAGTCTTTTCTCCAAGTTCTCCCCTGGGCAAAATTGCTTTCCTCCCTCTGCACCAACCCAGATGCCCGGCTTCTCTGATGTCCAGTCCCCCATGCCCAGCCCCCCGCCCCATGTGGGCTTAGTTGCTCTGCCCCAAGTGTCCTCTCCACACTTTCCCCCTGTAAACTAGCACACTGTGTTGTGTTTCTCTGAGGTCTTTCTTCACTGCCAAGCAGAACTCCAGAAGTCTTATTTGTCTCGGCATCCCCAGTGGCTGGCGCAAGGTCACCAGTGCTCACGAACTGTTTGAGGAATGAATTAGCACATGTCCTAAGGTGGACCAGAATACACCTTCTCTGGCCACCGTCCCAAGTCTTTGCTTAAATGAAGACCATCATCTTTGCCCTCTGGACGCTCACATGCCACGTGGGAAATAAAGCCTGAACACACGAGAAAAGGGTCGTAAAGGTGGTACCTACCTACCTGCATTCTCTGTGCTACATGAGCAGGTTGACTATTTTTATGAAATTGGCCTTTATTTTTATCCCCACTTTACAGATGAGGGTTCCAGCTCCAGGGAAGGCAACACCTCTTTTGGGCTTAGATGATCAAAGACTTGTGTAACACCTTTAGGGGAAAACGAGTAGGTGAATAAGACCCCTGGCTGTCCGGGGGTTGGTGCTTACAGAGATTCTCCAGACTGACCACAGCTGGTGGGACCAGGTGAAGTCCCTCAGAGAGCAAAGCCTCTGGTTGTTTGTCAAGTGGCTCATGCAGTCCTCTGGGATTCTAGCTAGCTTCTGGAGCAGGAGGGGACTTACCACTATGAACCAACTTCTCAGCCTCCTGAGAATCTTCTCTGCCTGCCTCAGGCTGGGCACCCCAACCTGACAAAGGTGGTGTTCATATGCAGGTAATAGACAAGGGCCAGGAGGAGCTGGAGTCAGGAATCATCATCCTCATCATGAAATTAATAACAGCAGCAATGACACAGTGACAGAAACTCTTGCCTGGAATTTACACTATGCTGAGGCTTCCTCTGCATTCTTATTTTATAGTCCATGAAACACTCCTCTGAAGCAGGTCTCACCATCTCCATTTCTCCCCTTCTCCATTTATCAGATGAAAAAACAGAGGTGCAGAAAAGTTCAGCAATTGCCTTAGATCACATAGCAGAGCTGTGATTTGACTCCAGAGCTGCTACTCTTAAATATTATGCTGCAGGGAGCTGCAGAAGGCAGGCCGGCACCCTGACCTTCCACAGAAGGACACACTAGGAAACAGGAGGCCAGCACTTGCTCGTTGCTCTAACCTCCACACCCCTTCCAGGATCTCCAGCCCCAGGCAGGAATGGGTGCCTGCTCCTTGCTAGATGAAAGCTCTGTGGAGTCTGGAAAGTACAGGTGACTGGGGGCTGCTGGACAGAGGAGCTGAGGTACCCCTTTCCCCCAGCCCCTGGCCTCACGGCAATGGCCTTCTGATTGCTGCCTCTCTTGGATGCCCGGACCGCTGCTGTCTGGAGCCTAATCTCCATTCTGGTGGTTTTGGTTGCTATGGTAATTGAATTCACTTAAAGTTGTCTCCAAGCTAGTCTGTCTACCTCTTTCTGTCCACAGCCTGGAGGGGTAAAACCCAGGGCAGAGGGCAAAAAGAGGAGGGATTGCTGACTTGGGAAGCCTGCGAGTGTTTCCTGATGCAGAGGGCCTCTTCAGAGGCAAACAGAAGAGAGAACCAGGGAGAAATGTTCTTTCCAAGTCTCTCTCCATCTTCCTCTTTGCTGCCTTAGCTCCTTTTTACAACGATATGCTGAAATTAGAGGGCTGGAAAGGCAGGGACTGATCCCAGTGGGAGGGCACTCTGAGAGTATTTTTCATTCCTCAGCATTTTGTTACTCATTCAACAAACACCGAAAGCTGACTGTATTCTAGGCTGCTGGTCTCTGGATGCAGGAGTCTCTCTGGGGGCAGCTCAGGATCCAGAGCCACAGAGAATGCCCCCTGACAGCACATGTCCATGTGGCTACCACTCTGAGATTTCAGGAAATTGTCCAGCCAGGGGCAGATCCTGACAGGGAGACTGGGGATTGTGGGACATTCCTCTTTCCTCCTTTCTCTGCTGGAGGGAGATTCATCACACAGCCCAGGGCAGTCCAGTGAGCAGAGAGAATCAGAAGTTCTCAAGACTGAGCTACAGTGGATGGGACCATCTCTAGGTGGGACTCAAGGGGCAGATCATACTCATTTCCTCCACCGTTCTAATGCAGGAGAACTTTTGAGACATAAGATGAACAACAAGTGCAGAGGCCAATGTCAAAGAGCCGCCTGAGCGGGGTGTGGGAAGATGGCCCCTTCCTCCAACCATCACCACTTTGCTTGGATGGTAAGGGAGTGGGGACAAGAAGGTTACAGTAGATACAGGTGATTGTATGTTTGCAAGTCTCAAGTCTTTTATTATTTAGCTGGATGAAGCAAACAAAAAGAATTTATATAGCTTATACAGCTTCAACTATGTGCCAAGAATTGTGCTATGGGAAGACAATGATGACTGAGGCCTAGTAGAGAATTTTGAGAAGCTCACAACCCTGGAAGGATGACAAAATGAGCAATGCAAAGGCATGTGCCATATAACAAGGGCAGGAGCAACATCCTCTGGGAGCCCAGAGGTAGGAGAAGAGGGAAGAGTGTGTGCAAGGCAGGGCACAGTGAGTTGCATTTGTAAGCGTGAGGAGTTCTTGAGACAGAAAGTCATTCTGCACAAAGGCAAGAGCATGAGCAAGTGCACAGAGGCGTGCAAATGCGCAGCCTGTCTAACGGTGGGAGTGCAGGCCAAGAGGAAGTGGCAGGAGATGGAGCGGGAAAGGCCAGGCAAGGGAAAGCCCGGTGTGAGTTCTGTGCTGAGGGTTGAGGGACCTCACAGCAAGCACTGCGTCTTAGCAAAACAACTCTGGCAAGCAGAGAGAAGGGTGGGAAAAGTGGGACATAGGAGGGGGGCTGAACTAGGGCTGTGGAACTAGCAAAGAAGAAAAAGACCCAGCCAAGAACGGGAGCAGCAGAATCTACGGTCCCTGGTGACCGGCTGTGGAAGTGTGTGTGCAGGAGGAGGGAACGAGCATTGAAAGAGATGGAAGAATCTGAGAAGTCTCAGTGCAAAGAGTCAGGGCGGGGAATGAACTGAAATAAGGAAGCACAGACATCAGTTTGGGGGAGTTCTGTTTAGGATGGGTGAGTGAGACACGTGGTATACTCAAGGTCAGAAAGAAGTATATCTAGAACTTGGGGGAGAGTTAGTTGCTCTTTGGAAATATGTAAATGGGAATCACCAGCATAGAGGTGACAGCTGAAGTTGTGAGAAAAGGCAACAATGCCAGGGAGTAGGCGCAAGGTGGGGATGGGAAAGGGGACAAACACATCTCCCTGGAGAATGGTCTGAGGCAGGTAGGGAAGCGGTCTAGAGTCAGCGGTTGGTAGGATTGGTAGGAGGAGGCAAGTACACAGATGGTGTGGGAACAGAGAAGATGCCGCAGAGGGAAAGCTGTGGAAAGCTGGTTTAGATTAGTGGCTCCCAAATGTGAGCGTACATCGGAACCACTGGGTCTTCTGAATCCTCAGGAAGCTGGGCCCCACCCCCAGAGTTTCCAATTCGCTAGATCTAGGGTGGAGCCCAGAAATTTGCATTTTTCTTTTCTTTTCTTTTCAAGACAAGGTCTCCCTCTGTCCCCCAGGCTAGAGTGCCATGGTGTCATTATAGCTTACTGTAACCTCCAACTCGTGGACTCTAGTGATCCTCTTGCCTCAGCCTCCCAAGTAGCCAGGACTACAGGCATGTGCCACCATGCCTGGCTAATTTTTGTATAGACTGTAGAGATGGGGATCTTGCTCTTGCTCTTGCTGGTCTTGAACTCCTGGCCTCAAGCCATCCTCCCACCTTGGCCTCCCAGAGTGCTAGGATTACAGGCGTGAGCCTCTGTGCCCAGCCAGGAATTTGCATTTTTAAATGCATGTTGATGCTGCGGGTCTAGGGACCACACCCTGCGAACCGCTGGTCTGGACTGATAAATCTGCACTTGGGAAGGTTCAAATTCAAATCATGCACTCCTTTTTGTGGCCTGAGTTGGACATGATTCAAGGAGACAGCTGGGCTTTAGTTAAAGAGCAGAGGTGGAGAATGTAAGGCAGCTCCTTGGAAATAGAATGGTTGCTACTGAGGATACAGGGAGAGGGAGGGGGAGGAGGGAAGCTAGAGGGTTGGCCGTGGCCATGACTGTGGGTCTTAGACAGAGGTCAGGCGAAGAGGACAATGGTGAGTTAGGCAGATGGGGGTGCGGGGATTAGAACAAGCCTCATTTGGGTTCTGTTTGGAGTGCTGGCTGAAAGCTAGCCTCCTTCTAGAGAACTTTGTCCCTCTCCCCCATCCGTCTCTTCTAACCTTCTAGGATCATTGCCTGCCTCAGGGCCGCAGGCCTTCCCAAGCAGAACGGAGGCAGCTGCCTCGTATCCTGGGTCGTCTCTCATTGGTGTTGCTCCGAGGACAGGCAGACCTAGTACGTTTTTCATTTTCCTTCTAAGACCCCAGATCAGACCCCTTGAGACCACTGTGAGGATGCTCTTGACCTCCGTGCCAGACACCCTCCTGAAGCTGAGCCACCCTGCAGGGGAGGCACAGAACTTGAGCCTTATTTTCTATTAGTGGAGCGAGTCCATAAAGAAAATCCAATTCATCGGTGTCTAAGAGAACATTACCAAGATAGACGAGACACCATGGGCAGTATTTAATTATGAGCAGGCAGAGCAAATAGGAGGGACGCAATAAAAATGCTAATCAGGAAGGGGAAAAAAAAGAGGCTTCATTTTCTTCTGGAATAGACTAAAGCTCATCTCTTCCCCCTCCACTCCCACCCCTCAAATGAGTGCCACAGGTCTGCTTCTGAATGTGGCTTGGTGACAGGTGAGTTCATTTTAGCTCCACTCCCAGGCTTCTTCCTGCTTCCATCGTCCCAAGCTCCCTGTTCCGAGAAGGTCCAGGCCAGAGAGAGAGAGGCTGCCTTTCCCTCATAAGCACACAGCTTCTGCTTCAGCCAGGGGAACTGGCAGGGAACTTAGAAAGGGAATAAAGCTATTATTCAGGGCTCAATTCCATGTCCCAGGGAGCACTTTGGGAAGGGACTATCTCCCTTTTCAGTAGCATATCCAGGATTTGCATGAGGAGGGATGGGGCCCGAGAAGTGCCTCTTGACCAGCCTGAATCCGATGTACTGGACTGAGTCTCTGGCCTGTCAGTTAATCCAACTCTGAGCCACTTAGGAAGAGCCTGGGGACACTCATCCAGGCCCAAAGCACACTCTCAATTCCTTTTAACTTGGCTGAGCTTGACATTGAAGTGTGGTTCAGGATTTTCAGGCCTTCCCTGTCTCACCCCTAATTTGGCTGACTCCTCATGTCGCCAGATCCTTTGGGTCACACTCTCCTTCCTTGCTAGCTTGCTCCACTTCCGCACTGCTGCCAAAAAACAGATTTATTTCTCTCGTTTTCCTTGGTCTCTGGGCTACCTGGATCCCAAGGCTTATGTTGGTTTGGGGTAAAAGTTGTTTTTTTCACAGCCCTAAAAATCTTAACTCAGCCCAGGCCCTTTCCTAGGTTGGCTCCTTCTGTTTACTGGGAACCAGTCACCTAGACAGGTTTCCATGCAATTTCCTGTTCACTGATTAGTCTCCTCTTGTCTCCTCAAATCCTCATGCAGCTATGAGCTCCTCCCAACATCACCAGCACAGGACCTGGGCCTGATGATCATCTGGTATCTCATCCTGGACCGCCTCCCCTCTCTCCACAACACAAAGAGATAGACCCAGGCCTGCGACTCCTTGCTACTGCCTCTTCTAGAAAAATATCTGCTAGATAGAAAGTTTATATACCCGCTACTTGCCTGCTGTGGGGCCCTGGAAAAGTTACTTAACTTCTCTGGGCCTCAGTTTCCTTATCCAAGTAATGGGGATAACAATATCTCAGATTTGTTATAAGAATTCAATGCAAATGCTTACAAAGAGCTTGGAAGAGTGCCTGCCACATAATAAATACTCAGAAAGTGTTAGCTACCATCATCATTGTTGTTATGCTATTCATTCATAAAGTCAATGGTCATTTCATTGCATATATGTCCAGGTGCTCAGTAGAATGACTAGCATAAATAAACACTCAATAATCATTGAATGAATGAATGTTCTTCTAAGCTAGTTCTTCCAAGGAAAATTACCCTTCCCAGAAAAATGTAAATTTAAAGAGAGGATCCACATGTTGATGACAACGCTTAACACTTAAGTGACTAATGGTGCAATTACGGCATCTAGGGGGAAAGGATTGAGAGTCAGTGGTTCTTTTCACTGTCTTCTATATTGAGTCAGACAGCCAATTATTAGAAACACAGCAAGCCCGGGTTTCCTGGGCCAGTAGCTCACAGTTTTCCTTAGGGTTGAATATTCCTTTTAACTCTAAAAGCAATAAAACCTTAGAAACAGAACCAGCAAGGGGATAAAGGAGACAAAGGAAACTACTAGCTACAGGACCAGCCTTTCCTGAGTCCTCCCTGGGGTCCAGGTTGCCACAGTCTATACACGTGTTGGAGCCATAAAGCCCACATGGGCTTTTTACTGTAAGACAGGAAGAGAAAGTGCTCCAGGTAGCTGACCTTGGACCCCAGCAGAATGAGGCCCCTTCCAGACCCAAGCCCTACACTCTCTTGGGGAGAGCTCTGCCTGCCTCTCTACCTCACTAGAGATTTCTGGTAGTGGAGAGTGAAAATATTTTGTCTAAATTCTGCTGGAGGCTTGTGTTATGAATCTGCTATGGGTGATCACAACAGAATCTCAATTGGGAAAGAAAGCTATCATTCCAAAATCAGAAGCGAGTTGGGGACCAAGGCCTGGGAGCTGCCATAGTCCTCCCACTGGTGCCACGTAGTCCTCCCGCTGGCCCCACACCCTGCTACTGACAGTGACCCTTCCTAGGTGCCATCTCATAGGCTTCTCACAACTGATGAATAGGTTGGTTGGGACCTTTATTCCTTTCTCTTTCTTTCTTTCTGGCATTATTTGAAAATATATTCTTTATTTTCACATGGTTCAACCAAATGTCACCAGTTCCCTGAGTAACCTTCCAGAGATATTTTATACATGTACAAGCGAGCACACACATGTTTTCTTTCCCCCCTTTACACAAATGGAAATCTTACTTTACACATTTTATGCGCTTTGCATTTTTTCCCTTAATACATATTGGAGCTTATTCTATATCAGTATATACAGACTTACATCATTCTTTTTGGTGATTGCATAGTATTGTGTTATGGAAATTAGTTTATTTAACAAGCCTATTTAAGTTGTTTCAATCGTTAACTTTTACAAATAAAGCTGTAATGAATAACCTGTGGGCAGGTATATCTATAGGATATGTGCAAGTGTATCCGAAGATAAATTTCTAAAAGAGGAATTGTTTGGTTAAAGGATTGATTCATTTGTAAATTTGATAGTTAATGACAAATTGCCTTTCATACATAGCCCATATTTTTTAGAAAATGGAGCTCAAAGGTGAGTGACTTGACTAAAGTCATACAGATTATACATAAAGAACTGGGGTGAGAACTGATGTCCTTGAGCACTAAGACTTTTTGGGCCCATGAGCTTAAAGAAATTAGGAATATCTAAGAAGCACCATACAAATTGCTGACCTATAATAAAATTTACAGCTTTGCAGGTTAAGCATTAAGCCCTGTGGATTCAACTTTTAGAAAGCCACAGTCCTTATCCTGGAGGAACCTACAGTTTAGAAGGGGAGAGGTAAGTAAAGGAACAATTTCGGTTTGGCAAGGTGGGATAAGGATGAGATAAAGAGATGCAGTGAGAACGTGGGAAGGGCTCCTGATCAACTTTGGATTCCTGGAAGAGGCATTTAAGGCATTTAAGGTGACATTGGATAATTTTAAAATGTCCTTTGTAACACTAATTATCACTTCCCTCTTCTTCAATTCTCACTGTTTACTACAGCAAACCTTGTATCAAAGTTATTGATAAGTAGCAAAATGAATTGCTTTGTGAAAGCATGGCATAGTTAGAATGATAATAACAGAGGCTACCATGTCCTGAGTTCCCACCGTGGCCACTGTGCTTTCTGGCTTAGCATTATCTAGCAGTGTGACCTTGGGCAGGGAACATCTCCAGTGTGTGTTAGTATCCACTGCTAAAATGAAAAAGTTGGCCAGATGATCCCTAGCTCCCTGCAAGCTCTCATGGGCTGTGGCTCTATTTCTTCCAGGGTCACTGAAGCCTCTGCTGGGGGACGATGGACAAGGAAGTAGCCAGGACTAGGGGGTCAGGCAAGGAAGCAAAAGGACTAGAGAGTCCTCACACTGGCAAATCAGCCTGGAACATTTGATTTTGAGAGAAGATGCTGTATATGTCACATAAATAATACTGAAAACACCTTATTGTTATATTTTTTCAAAGCAATTTCATATGCTATCTCATGTGCTTTTCATAACAATGATGTGAAGGACAGAGTTAGGGAGGTGGAGAAACTGAGGCAGAGCCAAGGTAGGCTACTCAGCCTAGGTGTCATGGTGAGGCAGTGGTGCAGGCTGCGCTAGAACCCAGGACTTCTGTCCTAATACTGTTTTTCCATATGCAAGGCAGAATTCTGGCCGGGGGCAATCCAGATTGCCTATGCCCTCCAGAAGCCTGCACCTAAATGGCCCTGGCAGTGCTGCCCCCACCTCCCTCACCATCCTCCAACAGTACAGTGAGCCTTTCCCTAGGTGCTGGAACAAGATTTTATTTCCACAAAGTGGGTCTAAAGGATGGTTTTGGTGGCTCAGCGCCAATCAGTCTGGCTGCTGGGCCTGCTCTGGCCTTTGAGTCACCTGTGATGGGACTTCTGCCTGGCTCTGGTGACCAGGCTGGGCTCCCTTACAACCTGCCTCACCCCTAGCTCCTCTGGGCCTGGGCCCTGCCTTGTTCTTCTGAGTCCTTCCTCTCTGGGAGCCCAGCCCTGCTCTAGAACCCTACCCTGAGGCTGATTCCAGAACCTCCCCTCTGAGCCATTGTACACTGTGTGCCCCTAGATCCCCTTTGCTGTGCTCTGATCAACAAGTAGACACTGTCTGCTGGACCTCCCTCGTGCTGACCACCAGGGACGTTAGGACGTCCGTCTAGCCCCCATGACATGTTTTCCAAATAATTCTCTTTGCCTGCTAGGCTGCCCACCTCCCATTGCTGCTAGGTTTGTCCCTAAGCTGCTCACTTACCGCAATGGATAACGTCCCCATTCCAGTCTCGGTGATCTGGTGATCTGGGTGTCTGCAGGCTCTAAATTCTGTTTTGACAGCCACCCCCCACCTCTACCCTTCAAAGCTGGAAGCTAATGGGCTGGGTAGCCTGGAGCAGCTTGCTCTCCCACTCTTTCTGGGGCCCTATTGACCAACTGTGAAAGTGCCCACTAGGTTCCCTTTCCTTACAGGTATGAATAAGAGCACAGCCATCTGGGGCCCCTTGAGGGATGGCTCTGTCTGAAAACAGACGTGATTACTATTTTCATCACCTTTATAATCCTTTAATCACACATTTGCAGCAGAGAGTCTGGGCAGGGTGAGTCCATTTATATAAACAGCAGGAAAAAGGAGGCTCTGTGCCATATGCCAACCAGGCTTAGTGGAAATGTAGCAATTGCTGGCCTTTCATGAGCAGGAAAAAAATGAATAATCTAGGTATTTATCCCCAAACAGCTCCAATTCAAGCTGCTGGGACCTGTGCTTATATTACAATGGCTTTGACAAAGACATATCATCCTTCCATGCTGGCCTGAGCTCTCAGTTCTGTCAGTGGGCTAGAAGGCATGGAAGGACAGGCTGTCTGGGCAGGTGACTGCCCTTGAACAAAGAGACTCCCCTGTCTCTGGCCCTTGGATCCTGGAAGTGTTAATCTGAAAGCCTATCTTCCTATCATTAATGGGATAAGGAGCCCAAAGGAGTTCCAAACTACTGTTTGGAATGGTCCTTAACAGTTACAGAGTTGTTTTCGTTTGTTTGTTTGTTTTTGTTTTAATTTTGAGATGGTGAGAGGCTGTGGCAAACAGGTACTAGAACTCTGGAAGGGGAGGGAGAATGTTCTTCCAGGGCCTCTCCATGTGAAACTGAGGCTTTTCTCCAGTGGCCCAGGGAGTAGAGGCAGAAAGGAGGCCTTGGTGACAGTCCTGTGACCCAGTCCACCCCGAGAAGGTAATCTCAACCTGGGAAACATGCCCTGACTCTCTCACTTTTAGATAATTCCCTAAGTAGAGGTCAGTCTTTCCTTCCAAAGGATCGGTCCACTTATGTATAAGAATCTCTTTTCTGGTTTGAAAGTGGCATTATTACTCGCTATTTCTGGGTAAGAGGTCACTCTAGAACTCAGCAGTGTGTAAGAGTAAGCACTTATTTAGCTTATGTGTCTGTGGGTCACCTGCAGTGCTGGTCTTGGCCAGACTTGGGGGGGCAGCTGGGACACAGCTCTGTACCATGTATCTCTATCCTCCTTCTGGGACCAGTGGGGGTGACAAAAGCAGCTGAAGGTGAACAGAAACATGCAATGCCTCCTAAAACCTGGGCTCCCTGTCACATGGCCAAAGACAAAGTTAAGGAGTGGGGAAAGATGCTCCATTCCTTTATGGAAAGAACTGCAAAGTCACAGGGCAAAGGGCATGGAGAGAAAGGGGTGAACAATTTGGCCTAATGACACAAGCCTGTATCACCCAGAAAGATGTCAGAATCAGGCCCCCTCCCTTGAAGCTCTTGCAGAGGTCTCCCTCCTCCCCCCTTCTCCCTGGAATAGATGAGATGAAGGGGGACCCTCTGAAGGGGACCCCATCAGCCCAGAGTAATGTGGCCTTGTGACTCCCTCTCGATCTTTCCTGTGCTGGTTAGAATGTGGGCACATAGAGAATGGAATGACAAAGAGTTTGTCCTGAGCCAAACGACTACTTCAGTCTTGTTAGTGGTTAGGTCCTGATGAGTTGCCATCTTCACATCTGAAATTTTTCTGGGAAAATAAAGCGGCCAAAGGAACATACAGCAAGGAGAAAAAACCAAGAACCCGCTACAAGTCAGGTCACGTGACCCACCCATCTCTGCTAAATGGAAGCATGAATCAGAGATGAGTAACACAGTGCCCAACTTCAACCGGAGCCCAGCACATGGAGCAGAGACCTTGCAAGTGATCTGAACACAGATTTCACTGGAACTGGATAAAAGAGCTTGGCCTGGCCACACCCCTGGACTCTTCAAGCCAACAGGTCCCAAGTAGACTGTTGAGTTTCCATCGGTGCAGAGCGGCTGCCAACTGGGCTGTGGCAACAGCAGCTCTCACGGTTTTCTAAAAATCCGTGCATGAAATTCTCCCTTCCCCGCCCTACAGCCCTTCCCACCCCCCAAATTAAACAAATGCTTGTTGCTTTGTTCCCTGCCATAAAGCATATTTTTTCACGTCGTCTCATTTACTAGAAGATACTAAAAGAAAGCTAAATTGGGATTTTTGTCGAGCTGCTGACGACTCTTCCCTATTGCCCTAACTCATTTTCAGTGGCATTTCAACACTTTGGTAATGAATTAGCTCTACCATTTCTGGCACAAAGAAAAGAGAGTTTAAATTAATTTTCAGCAAGGGATACTATTGGTCCAGGCAACTTCCCTCCCACTGTGTTAACATCAATGTCTTGTCTCGTTAAATGCCGATAAACAAGTGTAACACTCTAACAAGCCACAAATTGGCTTATTGACACCTCCGTCAGCTGTTCTTTGCTTCCAAAGCCGCTGCTTTATAGGCTTACAGTGGTTGCACAAAACGGGGGTTCGGGTGGAACATCAGAATGAGGAGATGCTGTTGGCATCGGGCTTCCCCGGCTGCTCATTTTTGTTCTGACTTTCATCTAATAGTAGATTGTATTCATTTGGTCTCCTCACGCCCTGGCGTTCCTTTTTGGCTTCTCCATAGAGGGGATGGGCCCACTCCCCTCCCCAGTCCTCCCCAGCTTTCTCAAGGTTGGCCCCATTGGCTGTGACACTGGGCAGCCCTCGCCATGGCAGGAAATCAGAAGACCGAGCAGAAAATTGCCGGTAGACCTTTAACCTGCTCACTTTGTGGCTGCTGGGATCTGAGGACACCAGGACACAGGAGAGCAGGTGATGTCCAGTATGATGCCCCACCAGCCTGCCAGGCCGCAGAAAGATCGAATGGCAATCGCCATTCAACAGGCTGTTTTTATTAGAGGACAAGGCAAGAGAGATTGGCCTTAACCGGCAGCAACAGAACCTTAGTTGAAAGATCAGGAAGAACAGCATGAGAGGGAAGATAGTTATGGCTATGGCCAGTGACTGGTATGTGGCACATGGTCAAGGTTGCCAGGTCTCCCCACCTGACCCCTCTTTGGGATGCCAGGAACAGAATAGACAGCAGCCTGATCCCCTGAGACAAGCTCAGGTGTCCCCAGAGGCAAGGGGTTGGATGAGATGACTCATCCATTTGGCATGAGGGTTCCATAATTTTTCTGGTATTCAAAATCTAATACTATTTTTCAAGTTCATATTGTTATGAATTTATACAGGAAATCTTATCTCTGTGATTCTCCCATGGTCAGCAGTGTTATCAGTGATCAGTAGAATCAACAATAGGAAAGGGATATGAAAATAACATTTCAGGGTGTTGATCTCCAGGGAGATAGCTTTCCTGCTCTTGTCTGAGGCTGCCCCTCACACGGCATGATTGGGGAAGGGGTTACACAGTCTTCCAGCTCTTCTCGGGGCCAGAGAGCCCAAAGGAGACAGGAAATTGAGTTGCACGTATGCGAGTGTGTGTCTGCATGTGTGTGCATGTGTCAGGCATTAGATGTAGAGGAGGCTAGCATGGAGGAGGGGAAGAGCTGGTAAAGAACAAAGTTTGGCCCATGCAGGGTCGCTTTGATCACAGCTCCTTTTGAAGTTTTCCTTTGCAGGTTCTTCCTCAGTGTTGGAAGGCCCCAGGGACCTGTCTCTTCTCCCATCTTCCCTTACTCCACAGATGATCTCACCTAGTCCTCTGGCCCTAAATATCTGACAACTCCTGTGTTGTTTTGATCTCCTTCCAGACCTCTTCCCTGAACCCTTATGTCTTGTCTCCATTGGATGTCTAATGGAGATCTTGAACTTGTCTCAAACTTAACATGTCCCCAAACTAGAGATTTCTTCCTTTAAATCTGCTCCTCCTATGGCTTTTGCAATCCCAGTAAGTAGCAAAACAAAAACAAAAACAAAAACCTCTTTGCTTCCTTTTTCTTTCATACTCCACATCTAATCCATCAACAAATCTTATTGGCTCTACCTTTAAAATATATGCAGAATCCAACACTTCTCACTGCTATTCTAGTCCAAGTCACCAGTCTCTTCCTTGGTCTTCCTTTGTCCACCCTTGCACCAACCTCTACAGTCTATTTTCAACAACAAGCTGAAGTCATCCTTTGAAAACATGTGTCAGATCATGTCACCCCCTGCTCGAAATTCTTGTTCAGAGAAAAGCCCCAGTCCCCAGATGGCCTCCCAGGGAACATAAAACCTGGCCCTGTGGCCTCCATGGCTCATCTCTTCCTTGCTTGCCTTGCTCCAGCCATGCTGGCCTCCTTGCTTCCCTTCAAGTCTGCTAGGCTCACTCCTGCCTCAAGGCCTTTGCAATTGCCGTTCCCTCTGGAGGGAATGCTTTTCCCCCCGGATATGGCAAGGCTCACCCCCTCAACCCTGACCACCTCATCTCATGTTGTTCCCTCACGCCCCGAACTGACACTTCCTTTACGCATTTCCTGTGTTTCCTTTTTTTTTAATTTTTTTTTTTTTGAGACAGAATCTCACTCTGTTTCCCGGGCTAGAGTGCCACGGTGTCAGCCTAGCTCACAGCAACCTCCAACTCCTGGTCTTAAGCAAGTCTCTGCCTCAGCCTCCTGAGTAGCTGGGACTATAGGTATGCGCCACCAGGCCCGGCTAATTTTTTCTCTATATATTTTTAGTTGGCCAATTAATTTCTTTCTATTTATAGTAGAGACGGGGTCTCGCTCTTGCTCAGGCTGGTCTCGAACTCCTGACCTTGGGCGATCTGCCCGCCTCGGCCTCCCAGAGTGCTAGGATTACAGGCCCTGTGCTTTCTTTGCCATACTTATTACCATCATATTTTACTTACACACGTGTCTGCTGTCACCGAAATTTCTGCACTTGTCTCCAAGGCCACATCAGAAGACCAAGGACAAATGGTTTGAGGAGAAGGAAAGAGGAGTTTATTAATTTGCAAATGAAGAGGTTGGTAGACTCCTGTCTCAAAGTATTAATACCAATGCCCTGTCTCTGAGCAGAAGTACTGAGCTTTTAAAGGTTCTGATCAATCCCACACTTCTGTCTTCCTCTTTGGCTGAGAAGATCTCATGGCCTCTGCCTGGATTCATCCCATCTCCTGTGGTACAAAGAACAAAGGACACTTTCCTGCCCCTCCTGATGCTGGCCCAAGGCAGAGATTCAGGTCCTAGTTCTCCAAAAGAAGTGGGGGATGTTTTAAAGAGACAGAAAACATTTTTGCCTTTTCTTCAAGACATTTCTTCTGTTCCATATTCCCCCTGTCAATAGTACCCTTCCATATCTATGGGAGGAGGGGAGACTGCTCTTTCCTCTGCTACAGTGTCTTCTCCACTAGAACTTACATTTCTCATTAGGGCAGAATTTTTTAGTGGGGTGGTTCTGCTTGTTTACTGCTATGTCCCAGCATGAAATAGGTATGTAATGACGATGAATGAATGAATGAACAAATGAGTGACTACCACCACCCCTCTAAATCCTAGCTGCTGTCTGGATCCTCGGGAAAATATGGTGGCATGATAGGAGGAAAGTCCCAGAGGAGGGTCCTATCTCAGTCCAGAAAATTCTTCCCTCTCTTCATCTAACTTCAACTCATCCTTGAGGGGTCAATTTAAATACCACTTCTTTAGACTAGGGGACTAAATTAGGTTACTCTGTTAACCGCTTTTGTAGTTCCGAGTATTTCTTTGTGTAGCACTTTGAATGCTCAGAATTGTATGATAAATCATTTATAGCTGATGTTTAATTTAAATTTTTTTCTCTATATTTTTAGTTGACCAATTAATTTCTTTCTATTTTTAGTAGAGATGGGGTCTCGCTCTTGCTCAGGCTGGTTTTGAACTCCTGACCTTGAGCAATCGACCCACCTCGGCCTCCCAGAGTGCTAGGATTACAAGCATGAGCCACCGCGCCCAGCCTATAGCTGTTGTTTAATGTCTGTTTTTCCTATGAGTCTGTGAGTGTTGCCAGGAAGGGACTGCCTTAGTCTTTGCTCACAGCTGGGTCCCTAGCTTATTGCACATGGCTTGGCACATGTGTGTGCTCAATTAGGACCTTGATCCTGGACTTCCCAGACTACAGAACTGTGAGGAATAAATTTCTGTTGTTTAGAAGCCACCTGATCTGTGATATTTGGTTCTAACAGCATGAACAGACCAAGACGCTATTCCTCAGACACATAAGACATCCCAGCTCTGGCCCCTTTCTACTGGCTGTTCCACTTGATTAATCCCCTTCTTCAAGCCTTTACTCAAATTATACCTTCTCAATAAGGACTGACTACTATGGACACTAGGTTTAATATGCCACGTGCCTCTCCACCCCGTACCCTCCGATCCCCTTAAGCTACTGTACTTTTTTTTTTCACTGCACTTACCACCTTCCAACATTCAATAAAATCTACATATTTATCATGTTGATTGTTTACTGTATCCTCCTGGCTAGAATGTTAACTCTCTGAGGGTGAGGATCTATTTTGTTCTCAAGGACCTAGGACAGTGCCTGGCACAGGGCAGGCACCCAAGAAATATCTGTTGAATTATTGAGTCACTAAAGTCCTAGTATTAGATGGTAGATGGCACTTTTTGAGCACTTATTTTGTGCCAGGCATGGTTTTAAGCTTTGTGGATGCATTAACTCATTTAACAGATAGTAAGTGAGCTGAGACTGTTTTAATCCCATCTAAGCAGTGAAATGCAAATGATTCTCAACCAGGTGAAACATGTCATCCAGGACAAGGTAGAAGGGGAGGGCCTATAAGGAGGAGGGAGGGCACATGTAGTTTGAAACACAGAAAGAGTGTACCGCTTGTTTTTATAATACGAATTGCAGAAATTAGGCTTTAAAATATTCTAGTGTGCTAGTTGGGATGGAGGAATAAACAAGATGAAATAAGAAAGAGTTATAGGTGGCTTGAATGAAAATGAGGTCTTGAAATGTAGCATGCATACTACAGGTAAATAGAAGCACAAAGGGCAAGAGGGTTGACAAGATACAATTGATTTTTTTTTCTGTGATGCTCATAGTTAAAAGAGCATTTAATCTTGCACCAGAAGTAGACTTTTAAAAATACATATGTA